CATCGGATGAGGAATGACAGGTCTACACATCCTGGAGGAAGAAGAAGAATGAAAATCTACTTGAGCTCAGAAATCTGATGGATGATACTTTGGTTAGTACGGGCAATGATACTCACTTTACTAATTTGTTAGCCGGCTCACTTTCGAGAACTAGAGACAGGAAGACTAAAACATGACGTCCCTAACACTTTTTGTGCTCTTTTGTGACTTTTTGGTTTTGACCCAACAATACGCCAAAAAAAAGACAAAATCCAAATGCTTCCAGAAAACAGTAAGAAAAAAATAATAGATGCTCAGCAAGAGGCAATTCTTGCAAAATAGCAACATTATGGTAAAAATTAAACAAGTTGATCATGGAGCTAACAGAACACAACTTAGTTCCTGTCCATAAGATCTTATGGTAGAAAATCATACATTGAAGTCCCCCCGTTTTTTTTTTCTTTTAGAGATATAAATAAAACAAAACAAACAAAAGTTCTGGTCTTAAAATATCAAGCATAAAAGAGAATTAAGCATTTCTCTGAACCTCATCCAGGATCTAAATAGCAGTTTAAGAACCTCATTACCTGTATTGATATTATGGAAAGCAAACGCTCAAATAGTTGGCTTCCATTGAAAGCAAAGCCCAAAAGCAAAGCCCTCAGAAATGGGAATAATCTGCTTGATTTATTTGGGGCCAATGTCCTTCAGGGCACAGATCTGCTCCTCTCCCATGGCAGACATTACAGTCACCACCAGGTCCTTCCCTTCTTCAAAGCTGCTAGCGATCTACATTAAAAGGTTTGATATTAGATTTCATTGCTTTTTTTTGGAAAGCCTCAAATCATCCTTTGTTTCACCATTTTCAGTCAACAGACTCACAAAGCCATCAGTGGAAATATCAATCAGTTGATAGTACGATTGACATGAGGGACATCACAAGTATGAGATGATGGCACTGAGATGATGGCACAATATCCTCAAGCTTCTTGTTGTTGAAAATATCAATGGCCACAAAGTGGCACTTTGCATGGCCGTGCTTTGCATAGCCGTGCTTACCAGTTTTAGAGGTTGAGACTTCAACAACCTTGCAGTATCTGCCTTTGATGACTATGTACCCATTCTTCCGGATGGAGCCAGCTTGCTGCGGATACGTCTTGGAGGCGCCGACATCTGCCCTCGATTCAAAGTGGTGCTCCTCATCCGACATTTGTCTTCTCCCCTCGGTCTCACCTCTCGAACAGATCAGGCTAATAAATTACTATATATATTCATACATATATATATATATATATATGAATAGTATTTTTAAAAAAAATTAATTGAATACAAGGCTAAGATTTATAATTAATTAAAAGTATCAACTAAGAAAATAGAATAAAAATTATTAAATTAGATTCAAATGATGTTTTAATATAAATAATATTTTTTAAATCTTGCCCCAACTCTTAATATCTTATGGCTACGTGATTAGGGTTGTCAAAACAACTCTTTGTTCGTGAACAAAACTCGTGTTTGGCTCGTTAAGCAAACAAGTCAAACACGAACACACTTTTTGAGCTCAAAATATAAACGAGCCGAACACGAGCTGAGCCTGGGCTCGCTCCTGTTCGGCTCATTTACACCTCTAGCGGTATCCAAAGGAGAGAAGGTACACCGACTGTAAGTCGTCCTGAGGTGGGGATTATTGTCAATGTTTTGAGCAAATAAGCTGAATGCCTTTTTCCATTGCTTTCATTCTAATAAATAATAGTTTGTACAATCTATTTTAGGTACATAATAATCTCTATAAAATCTATTTTAGATAGCTTAATAATACATATCCCTAATCTAAAAATTCAGCTAAAAGAAAAAAATTTGTGTAATCAAAGTAAGAAATTTAATCCAGTAATTGAATAAAGGAAACTCTTAATTCTACCCAATTTCATTTATTCTTTATTGATATTCTCCCTCAAATTAATGTTGGCCGGTCAAAAAGCGTCAATTTGTCAACAAAGAACTGATGACGCTGTCGAGAAAGGGCCTTAGCAAATGTATCAGCCGTTTGAAGATCAGAAGAGATATGAGAAAGAGAAATAACATCATTATCATAGGCTTCTCAAATAGAATAAAAGTCCACTTCAATGTGTTCCGTGCGCTCATGAAAGACGAATTACTAGTAATCTGGATAGCACTAATATTATTTATATAAAGAGAAGTAGACTCAAGTTGCGGAAAACCAAGCTCAACCAACAAGCCTCAAAGCCAAATGATCTCAGAACAAACAGAGGACATAGCACGGTATTCAAACTCAATAGATGACTGAGACACTTGATCTTTTTTCTTACTTTTCCAAGAAATTAAAGAATTGCCGAGAAATATACACCAACCAGTAATAGATCGATGTGTATTATAACAACCAACCTAATCAGCATTATTATAGGCTGTTATGCGAATAGGAGACTCCGCAGAAAAGAACAAACCACGATGAGAAGTACCTTTCAAGTACCTAACAATACATCGAAATGCAACCAAGTGAAGATGTGTAGGTGCCTGCATAAATTGACTAACTTGTTGCATAACAAATGAAATATCTGGAAGTGTGATGGTTAGATAATTGAGGCTCCCAACAAATTGTTGGTACCAAGATGGATCAAAGAGGAATTCACCATCATTTTGCTGATATTTAACATTCACTTCCAAAGGAGTATCGACAGGACGATCCTCTTGAAGCCCGACTAAAGCAATGAGTTCCTCTGATAACGATGAGAAGACAACTGAAGAACAATGCGTGGTGTATCTTCTTCCACCGAATGACAAAAAAAAAAGAAATGTTTTAACCTTAAAAAAATGATATAAAACTTTTCATGCATAGTAAAGCGGAATTGAAGTTCAAGTGTTGTATATGTAAATACATAAGAATTAACCGGTATGTATATAAATCTTCCAAAAATTAAATGATTACACGAAACATAAAAAGAAAAAAAAAAGAAATGTTTTATATCATTTTTTGAACTTCAATTCCGCTGAACAATGCATTTTATATCATTTTTTGAAGGTCCTATAGACTGAGATACGTGAGATCGGTAGTGGCTCCCCTACAATATATTCTACACCTATTGCACTGTGAACGGGAATGTATGCAGTCTCATCATTTGATGAAGGGAATGACAAAAATGTGACATCTACGCAGATGGTGAGGAAATTAGGTTTCATGACTCAGAGGCATTCTCAGCAGTATTCTCTGATATGATTGAAGGAGAGTAGAGTCAACAATAACCGGAGGTGCCTAGTTGAGTTCTAAATTGAAAACCAGCTGGAGAATTAGGTGTGGTGCCACGTGGTATCCATAGATACCTATCACATGTTGTTGGGGATACCGTGGTTATTTAACAATAGAACTAAGCATGATAGATTGAAAAAAACCCACTTCTTCACCAAAAATGAAAAGTGCATCGTCCTTGCTTTTGCGGAGCCAGAGATCATAGATGCCCTAGCCAACAGAACATCACAGTGGGACTAGTTTTGGTGATGATAGAAGATGATGGGATAGATGCACCAATTCCATACACGACATAGTCACGATAAAGAGCATTTCATGATATCACGACCGATCGTTTGGGGAGATTCAAGTTGCCCTCCCTTCAAATCAAATTGAGCTGATCTTGGATTACTTTGGGAGGATGCAACAGTCTATGTAGAACACACAGATCCAATTCAACTTAGTAGTGGACCCTCAGAAGATTGGATTGATATGGAGGTATGCTTGCCATAGAGAAAACTCTGCCGACGTCAACGTCCAAAGTGGGATCCAGGTGTTTTTTAGGTCATCGTGAAAGGTTTGTTAGCCTCAGGAGGTTCCAACCACTTCGTCACCGTCAAAGTCAACGTCCAAATTGAAGCTTCAATGAATGAAGTCAAAGCTCCACCAACCCCGCAAGACTAACGTGTGGCTCCATGAGAGCTTAGCGTATGAGCCAGTTGGACAAGTTCAGTCAAGGGGCTGCAAGGGCCGACTGGCTCCTGTATTGGGGCTAAGTTTGTCCCCTCCCTCCTAGTTATCTATTATATATATTCGTTAATTTTTGTTCTTGGTTTAGTTTTTGTAGAGTTTTTTGTCAGGACTGCCGTCGGCATCCCCCTTCTCCCTTCTAGGCCTGTATCCAAAGGCGAGAAGATACTCTAGCTGTAACTTGTCCTGAGGTGGTAATTATATTCAACTTTCCTTACCTCGAATTCGCCCCGTGAATCTCTTTCCTCGCCTCAAGAAACACCAAGCAACTACCTTGTTGTCTCCCTGCACCCACCTCCCTTCCATCTTGCCATCCTCCGGCTACCAACTTCTCTTCCCTCCTACCCATCCAACCACCTAAAACCCCCTTTTTCCCATCAGTTGTTGTCCAACTAGTTGTCCAACTAGTCGTCCAACTCACCTATGACAACCTCTCCTTTTAGCAAGTGCAAACTCACCCTCCCTTCTGTAGCCAATCACCGAAGTGCCTTCCTCCATTGCCGCCAACCCTCCACTATCCCTTCATGTAAATACATAAGAATTGAGCGATATGTACGTAAATCTTTCAATACAAAATTAAAGGGCATTTACCCTCCCTTCTGTAGCCAATCACCGAAGTGCCTTCCTCCATTGCCGCCAACCCTCACTATCCCTTCATGTAAATACATAAGAATTGAGCGATATGTACGTAAATCTTCCAATACAAAATTAAAGGGCATTTACACACATATCACTCAATTCCTATGTATTTACATATCAAACACCTACGCTTTACTTGTTACATTTACACCACCCAAGTCTTTCTTATCATATCAACAATACCACTATCTCAACCTTAAAAAAATTATATAAAACTTTTCATGCATGGGTAAAAGCGGAATTGAAGTTCAGGTGTTGTATATGTAAACACATAAGAATTAACCGGTATGTATGTAAATCTTTCAAAAATTAAACGATAACACGAAACATAAAAAAACAAAAAAAAAAGAAATGTTTTATAAATTTTTTGGTAGTAAGAAACAAGGCTGACCTCCTGTTGAAGAACATCCGGAAGTTTCTCGGTCGATACTAGATCAAAAATTTGAGCTAGAAGTTTCTCATCTCTGACACCCATCCAAGTATCCGAAGGCAGCGCCAATAGCAAGACGGTGAAAACATCATTACTTCCAGGGTGCATTACGAAACAATTATCCGAAGCAGAACTGCAAAAACTTCTTAAATTTGAAGACGATAAAGATGTTGACGGTGATAAGGGCACCAGCATATCAACCTTTTGTTCAGTTTTACCAGAAATCACTGATCCCGAGACAATAGTAACAGGTTTTTGCTCATTTGGATTCAAGCATTTAACACAAGTTGATTGACAACAGAGACCTTTGTCCTCTCTGATGCCTCCACCCAACAATATTGCCCCTTGGCAACAGACACTGGCTGCAATTTCGGAGAAAGATAGGTTATCACAGCAAGATAGAGCATTTGAACAACATGATGATAACCAATCCCGCACGATGTTGAACAGTTTAGTCTCATGTACTTGTTGCAATAATCCTTCCTGACATTCAAAAAGAGGCATATGAGAGGAAACAATTGGGGTTTGTTAAGAAGATTTACGGAGAGCCAAAAGAGACAAAGGGCATTTACATACATACCACTCAATACCTATGTATTTACATATCTAACACCTAAACTTTGCTACGTTTAACCACCCAGATTTTTCATATCACACAAAAAAAATCACATTATTTTAACTTTTAAAAGTGAAATACAGCTTTTCATGCATAGGTGAGGTGGTATGAACATAAAAATTGAATTTTTAGGAGTAGATATGTAAATACATAAGAATTGAGTGGTATATATGTAAATCTTCAAAAAGGTAAAACTTAATCAGACCTTCGCAGCAAGCCTTGTCTTTTCCTCTTCACTCAAGAATGAACTGTCTCTATCTTCCTCTTTCCTCCTTACTTCAGCCATCCATTTGATAAAATTTTCAGCATTTGTGGGAAGAGATTCAAATGGGAAAGAACATCAGTGACACTGTGCAAGCTTTCAGACTTTAAGAGAATTGGGAGCTCTTCAACCAAGTATTTTGCAGAACTGAACCAGCTCTCATGCCTGCAGCTCTGCATGATGGCCAATGAAGGAAAAACAAATTACTGGACTCGTGATATAAACCAATTGAAAATCAAAATTACATAGCAATCTATAAAGTGAATAGTAATTTTCACATTTGAATGTGCTTATGTTATTTCCGGAAGTACGAACATGTAGAGCCTCAAAAGGATGGAGGGCTTAAAATTTCTATAATCAATTGAAGTTCCAAATATCCTGCCCACAAAAAACTTTGCTTCAAAAGTTGGAACGATTGAATATAATACATAAAATAACAAAGTTTAATTTGTATAAAGAATGAATTTGTTGCATATCGTCTATCTTTGACTTGAACCAACATTTGCTCTGGAACCGTATATCCCATTTTTATTAGAAGTTACAAATTTATTATTTGACAGATCGTTGATCAAAGAACATTATTTTCCAAAGTCTTGGCCTATTATCATCATGTTAAAAAAACAAGAAAAATTTATCCTTAACAGTAAAGAAACAAAATAAAAAATGAGAAAAATCAATCCACTAAAGTTTTGACTATATTAAGAAATCATTAAGAAGAAATTGATTTTTAGTGAAATTGTTGATCGGGGGTTGCCAATAGTTTAGACTTTTAACGATGAAAAATTTTCATACACCTGAAATTGATACTTAGGGAACTTATTTCCATTTGATTCACCCATGACTTTTATGTCCTTCAGCTACTTGTTTGTCATTGGTCAATAATAGATTTTATATTATAATTGACAGTTTCTTATTTAGTGGGAGATGTTTATACATTTTTATTTGAATATACCTTTGTATGGTAAAGACCCTTCCTGATAATGATGATTATTTGAATATACGTTCCAGTTTCTCAAGTCAGCTGCCCTACATGTTGCTTTTAAGACAAAACGTCTCCTTCTTTTGAGAATTCTGCTTCAAGGATTCCGCATTGATAGCTTTGTGGTTTCTGCTATGCATCTCCTCTCACTTCGTACGATTCAAATCCCTACATCTTAAAACCTTCTGCCTCGTCTCCTACAAAATATGTCCCACCCTCCCATCCTTTTTACCTCTTAGTCTTCATTCAAATTTCTATATGCTTTCAAATACACAATAACGATCCCCTCTGATGTTCCTCATGCCATTATGCCTAAAAAGAGTGAAATTCTTGAACCAAGGGAGATTTCTATTAATGCAAATCTCCAAGTGCACCATCATTGTGGTTCCATGTAAATTAGCATTTCATTACTCTTCATTTCATAAACTCGTCGCCACTTTTTTTGGATTATTATATAATAAATGTGTAATCAATAGTTAATTTATTATGATAATTCTTTCATGAAAGGCTTGTCTTTTATGGAAAAAACAAATATTATTTCCCATAATTATTTTAGAAATTTTTCCTTTCTTTAAAGCTTAGATGCAAATTCCTTTTATGAAATAGAGGATGCTTCTTAGGAAAATTTCAATGATGATAAATAGAAGAACATGGCAAGAAATTACTTACAATGATGACCAACCACCCTATCTATCAATCCCTCGCACCTCTATCCGATTTTATTTCTTCTTTTTTGGGAGGAATTCTAATATAAAGCTCATTTATCTTCATCAATCAAGTAAAACAAAGCCATCACAATATTTTCGGGATCAAGCACCTAATATTTGATCTGAAGTAAAACTTCAATCTTTGGAATTTTTTTGGCTATCACCACTACCACCTATCATTAAACTAAAAGAAATATCATTACCCCCTACCATAAAATCCTTAAAAACATGAAACCAGACCTACCCAAGCTCTAACCCCAGCAGCACCACTCCAACCAAACTAAATTGCCCAAAATAAAAAATAATCAAATCTAAATTGACAAAAGCCAACATTCGCTTCTTGATTGAGCCCTAAATTAGGAATATTTTGATGTCATGATCTCCTTCCAAATTTCACTAAGATAAGTTTTACCACTCTCACCTTCCACACAATTTGTTGGACTACATGCATCCCACCAACCTTCTTTTATGCTCTCCAGCTCTTGGATGTGTGCTCTAATCACTCTCACTCAACTCCCTTGATTATCCACATAAGTTCTTGTTCACACTCATTGCTACAACCTCGCATTCTCATGCAGAAGTCAATCAACTCCTTAACTCAGATTCCCTCACTGAGCCTCTTCTGGTGGTTTTACTAGGCAGCCTCAAATCTCATTGAAGCAATTTGTTGATCCTATATTTCCTCTCACGGCCTTTCTCTTTAGTTGCCAATATCATTAAGCATTGGCATCCTAAGTCTCCCGTTCGTCACCTCTTTGCTTGATGCTTGCCTTCTTGCATTCACAATCATACGACATCTCTGCTCTAACTCAATCCCCACCTATCTATACACTGCATGCCTCTCAAGTTATAGTTAAATCCCCAATACAAGCAAATCCTTCGCTTCCACCCATATTTTCCCTGCAACTACTGCTTATAGAGCATCTGTGATTGTTTCTCAAGCTGCACTCATTGATTTTTTTCATTGATGTTGTTTGGTGCTGAAGGTTTCAAGTCTTCAGCGCCTTCATCCAACCATGTACCATTTACTTTTAGCAATATTCAAACCCTTATTAACATAAATAGTCATCCATTATTCATGAAAAACTTATACTTACCTTCACTTCATCTAAGTGATATTGTTCTAGGGCCCCTGGAAGGTGTTGGGAAGTGGATTTTGAGGGGAGGTGGTTGTGGAATAGCAAAGGAATGATAATATGAGTGATTGACAATATTTGGAAGAAGTATGAGATGAAAACTGATGTTAAGCAGATTCGGCGACGTCGGTGGCTGTCCGGAGTGAAAACAGTAGGTTAAACAATGGAACGGCAAGATATAGATAGTGAGGAGGATCTACCACGTGTTTCAAGGTAAGATACATACACACTTATAAAAGGAATAGGATACAACATTTTTTAAGGTAGAAAATAGAGATTATGATCTCCAAAATACTCAAAACAAAGCTAGCTTCCTCAAAACATTAAAATACACATATAAATAACCACCTAAAAGTAAATAACTCTAATGAGAAATAACAAAATAGAAAAAAACTACAAAAAAAAAAAGATATACTAAAAAACATAAACTGGATGCTCTATTTCTCTACATCCATTGCAACATCCTCTGTGATCATGCGGTAATATGAAATCCCACAATCCCATGAAATGCAAAACCCGAAACCCACGCCCTGCATCCTTCTCCCGGGCTAGGAGAAGCTTTTTCTCTAGAAGGGTATGAATCCCATTGTTGATTGCTCTTTCCCACCAAAGTTGTGGTTCAATCTTTCCCTCCAAAGTTGTGGTTCAACATTCTTGTCCAACAACCTACACGCGAGTGTGCTGCTGAATTAAACTGAAACTTAATACTTAGCTTATTCCATAGAGTCTTCCATAAATGGTTCAGAGATGCCTCATCTCTACTGAAGCGATAATATACTAGACCAATCTTAGCAGGGGTCGTCCCGTGTCCGACATTGGTCTCTCAAACTTATCGCCATCTTAGACAACCGATGCTAATCCCATTGGGCTTCTCTCAAGACCTACCAAAAGATAGTTTGTGTCACGACATCCTCGAACTTCTAGGACTCATTTCAAGGCAAAATTACAATGAACTTTCCATCTTAGTTGAAAGAGCATATATTCTTGTAGCCATCATAATGTGTGTAGCAATAGTGTTGCCAAGACCTAATAGGATATGACAAGCATCTATAGGTATTACATCACACCACACCACACTTGCTCAACTTATTTCCTATAGAAACTGCACGAAGCATCTCCTATCAATGCTAATTTTACTCTCCTTCTCTAAACAAGTCAGGGAATAGGGTTGAAAATATTTCTGGATAATGAGGCTCAAATTTATTCATTATTTGTGTAGATGCTATATTTTCACAACAGTCTCCATTTAAAATGAGGCTGCACACATTTCCCAACACAATATAATGGATATAAAAATGTTATGGCAGAGCCACTGTTGCCCCTCATCAACTAAGTATGAAGGACCCATCGAATCACTACTATCACTCTCTCGTTGGCTGTAAACTAGTACTCCTTTGTGTCCTCACCTCTCTACTGTCCATGTTTTTCATTTTTTTACTGCTCAATGAAAGAGATCGCACTCCTATTTGGGCAATCGATCACGATATGCCCAAAACTGTGGCACTTTAAATACTTCCTATTTGAGATAGATTTAGGAGTGCTGGTGGATCCACCTTTTCCATACTCTAAATTAGTTTCGCCACTGGTGAGGTGGACTTGGATGCTACACTTGGGGTATTCTTACTGCCTGATCTGATGACTAATCCATATGTTATGAGTGGTGTGAATCTGATACTACTGGGCTGTCACTTTACATTTAAGACTAGACTCTTATAATGTCTAATAGGGTTGTAATTGTACAAAAATACCAATAGAATGTCACAATCCCCTAAATATTAAGCTATGGTGTTATCAAATTTCACTAGCTCAAACTTCAATATAAGCTACTCAAGCCCAGTTGTATCCTCCTCTACTGAGAAATGTTGCTAATGCAAATGATGACGTCTCAAAACATATCATGTTTGTAATGTGTTGATAGGTTCCAACAGTACATCTCTATTTTTATATTGGTCCATGCAGTGATTTTAATTTTTCCCATATGCTAGCGTAGACACTTCAAATTTTCCCACCACAAAGAAATATTTTTCCCGAGTCTAATAGCTATCAGCTTAAATCTCTTACTCTGGGGAATGTCTTTATGTTCAAAAATCTATTCTATTGTCTGGAGCTACACAATAAATTCATCTAGATCCATGCGATGTTGAAATCTGATAAATTCTCTTACTCAAAGATCGTGGCTTCTCCTATGATTTTTCATGTTAAATTGATGGATATTAGTTTTTAGTCATTGGAAACTTTTTGATGAAAGAGATTCACTTCCTCTCCTTAATCTGACAAGTCACTGTTATGGCTATGAATTATCTAACAAGAATGTTTCCTCTCAAAGTCGGCAAGCCTTTGTTCAAGTAAGA